ACTGACTTTGAATTCAGAATGTGTAAATTACACGAATTGAATACATAGAGGGACATCTAAAGTACCAGGATATTACCTTTGAGAACAACTGTGTACTGAGTAAATGTGTCTAACCTGGTATTTAAATAGTAGAGCTACTTATTAAAAACGTTTTGTAACATTTTTATGAAGCAGATGATGTTGCAATTTGATAACTGCTGTACAGTAATAGCTAGGGAGGCTGATAAGTAGGCTTGTTGTATCCATAGTGACTTGCATGATGACGCTCCTATTTAGGGATAATATATCATGTCTAAGCTTCCACACATGTCCTATCCACTTCAAAATATAAATATTTTATTCAGTTTTTGCTTTTCTCCTTCATTTCTTTCCTGGCCTCAAAAAATAATTTATGTACAAAAGATGGGGCGTACTGTGTGCAGTCATTGTTACAGTTCTAGCCGCACCTCTATCCCCTTTCTGGTCTCCGAGTGCACCCATTCGGGCCCTTTGTCTTTACCTACACTCTGGAATTCCACAATTCTCCCACACTTACACTGAGCCCTGTGTATTGACTGTGCTTATTCAGCAGATCTGATGGGGGTTCTTTTTAGGAGTTAGCAATCAGTGCTATCCAGTGACCAACCAGCTTTCTTAAAACAAACAATATGTTGGTTTTAACAGTAGGAACAAAGCATTTAAAGAGGATTTGAAAACCGGTGTATGTGTGTTGCTGATGGCACCTGAGGCAAGTTTTCTTAAGACTCCCCCAGCAAGTTCTTGTATGTCACCCTGGTTTCCCCAAACTCCCCCTCCATCTTGAGAGAGAGAGACTCCTTAAACTTGCCACAGTTCTTTGATCTCCTGTGTTCCTGAGCCTTTGCCTGTCTTGGCATTGTCTCTTAACAACCCACAAGTGGTTATGGAGAAGTGGCTTATCCTGAACCCTTCCTTTTCTTTATGGCCCCCTGTTGAACTAGATCAATATATTCATACAGCAAACATCCCAGTAACCAAGGCAACATCCAGTATTCATAAATTATTATAGATCAGCTCCAATTGTCACACATCATTTAAAAAACAAAAGTGACTTTTCGCCTCTTCATTGTCTAATAGTCAATTTTGTATAATAAAATACCAATTCTCCCCTAGCTTTACTTTAAACCAACTCCTTAGTCAGATACCTAGTATCTTTCCATGGTTACAGTGCTTTCTGCTGCATCTCACCTCTGACAGGGGTATCTTATTTCAGAATGTTAAGCTGAAAGTGCTGTATTCATGACACTAGTCGTGTGTTGAAATAAAGATGAGGGTGCTAACCTGTCTCAGGATTGCTGTGCTGGTCCACTTGCTGAACTCGGTCCCCAAGGCAGATTGCCATCTCCATTTGTCATTTACAGAGGACAAATTTCTTGTTCAGCTGTATTCTTAAAAATCCTGTGTAGTAAGGAGTGTTGAAGACTCGTATGTGAAATGTTAGTCTGTATACAGTAGTGTTAAATGGTGGGGGGGGTTCTGATGACACTGTCCTTCTGGGCTAGCACCTCTCACCTGCTGGCAACTCAGACTGCCTGCACCTTACTATGTAATGTCATAATTAAGGCATATCTGTTAGTTGCCTTAAGTGTACAACTCGTATATTACATATGACTCATTCTTGGTAAGTTTGTAAGCAGGTTCACTAAGGGTTTCTTTTAAAGTAATGTCTGTCCTGATGTTCTTCATGTGACTTCAGATTGCAGCTTTCCTGGGGAGTGCTGCATGTGAATGGAATCAAAACCCGAAAATGGACTCTCTAAGATTGAAGGGAAAGTACGACTTTAACAGATCCCCCTCAAAGAAATTAACTGACCTGTAAGCCTCTCCTTCCAGCAGGGTGTAGGAGGAATTTGTTTAGCTAAACTTTATGGTAAACGCACCTGGAGATGAAAGAGAGTCTAGTGGCTAGGGCACTCTGCCACTGACTTCCTCTGTGACCTTACGTAAGTTGCTTAGCCTCTCCGTGCTTCAGTTCCTTATCTATACAATAAGGATAATAGTCCTATCTCTCAGGGGGGTTTTGAGGCGCTCAGGTAGCATGGTAATGGAAGATCTAAGTACATAGATAATGCTAACTTGTATTGCTCACACCTTCAGCCATCTTATTCTCAGGCTTCAGAGTTCTAACCTCCTTGAAGTACTTGTGGCATAACATGCCATGCCTTCTCCTTAGAATATACAGAGACAACCTTTTCTAGAAGCTTGGCCTGGCCAGATACTTTTTTTTTTTTTTTAATTAACCTAACTGTGCTCTCTGCTCCAAGACCTACTTAGTATATTAACTTCAAATAATTACAGTTAGTCTTAGAAACAAAAAGGGGGAAGGGTGCAAGGCCACCACTCCAGCTCCTTCCCATTTGGGGTGATCAGTGTATTCTCCCCCTCCCCTCCCCACCTCTTCATGCAAGCCTTCTTCTTGAAGTTGGAGGTTGCTAACAGCCCCAACTCACTGTCAAACTTTGGAGAGGGAAGGAGAATCAGCTTGTCTGTACTGTATTTTCTGTGATGCAAGTATCTACACATTTCCATGGTGCTTGAGTAATTTCAGGGTGGATAAAAATCAATGATTTTTTAAAAATAAAAATCTGATTTTTTTTATTTAAATTGGATTTTTTTTGTTTTTTTCCCTCAAAAAAGCATATCTAAAGATACATTATAGCTCAAAGGTATCTCATGATGGAATAGGGATTATAAATTCTAATTCTATAGTATGAGAATATATTCATGTAATGTTTAAGAAAAGTTTTGTAAATGAGTTCCAATAGTTCATGGATTAGGGACCCAATTTTAGGAGTTCCACAGGCTTTTTATAGATTATTTAGGTTAATCTTTCTATCTACCCAATAGGACTTAGTGCTCAGTCTAGAAGATACCATCAGAGATGCTTAGTTTTGCAGTTCTCAAACTGTAGATTTGTGTCTCCAGAGGTAACATGCTTGTTAACAGCAAAAATGTTTTTAAATAAATAATATATAGAGGTGAGAAATAACAGACCTCAACTCTATTGTCCCTCTGCAAATTTGTGTATGCAGAGTCAATCCCTTACCTCTCTCTAAAAGTGCAAAGTTTCAAAGTTCAATGAATAAAAGATTGTTGGGGGTGGAATAGATCTGGACAAGGAGAAGAAGTCTGGAGATAAATGTGAGAAGTGAGGGACATATAATATTTTAACAAAACAAGCATATGTTTGCTGTTGAACAAAAAAATCCAGAATACTTAACGTTGTTTCAGTTAAATAAAACAATTTAAATGCGTCTGGTGATGTTCTCCTCCTAATACAGCATGGCAAGAAAATCCTCCAAATATTAATGATTAACCTGTTGAAGTGGAGAGAGTTCACCTCCCGAAATGACTTCATAAATATCTGCTTCAATTACCTTTGGTAAATGAAATAACTAAACTATCATTTATTTTCTGATGTAGCTGTAAAACTAACCTGAAAAGTTTTCAAAATAAATCACTGTTTAAAAATGTATAGTGTGTACCTTCTAAAAATGAAACCTACATCTATCTCTGAGTGGTGAAGAATATGTATTAAGGTTATAACAGCCAACAAGAATGCACTTTTATGTAAAAAAACATGATTAAATTGAGTCTTCCTGGCTAGTGATTTAAATCCAATCCACCTGAGTAATTTCTCCCAGCTGAATGTAACTTATTAGGAATCTAGTGCCCCACCGAGTATTCTTACTGTTCAGTTCACTACACACCAGCTATACTACCAGGTGCAAAGGTCAGTTTCCCATGTTGCTGCTTTGTGTAGTAGTATCTCTTCAGAAGATTCCCCTTCCAGGAAAATCCTCTCCACTTAAAGGAATTCATGTTTAAGTTTTTAACTAGCTCATAGTATGGAGTAGTTGAAAGGAGCTAGGACTTCATTGTCCTACGTGGAAGAATTAATCAAGTTTTCAACTCAGTTTTTATTCCACGTTTTATAAACTAGGTTACTATTGAACCTCATGCTTTTCCTATATTAAGTGTAACCCCTCTTGTTCTCTCAGCCTCAGCTTGTCAGAGAAGGTTGACCATTAGAAGGGAGATACCTGCATCTTTTTTTCAAACAAGCTAGGTCAGGCTGGACTGTTGCAACTTTTAATTAACTTTTATCTTCAACTTTAATGAGACTTACCATTTAAATGCTACAGGAGTTGATAAAATTAATTTTTGGACATGCTTAAGCTTTTAGCTTGTCTGAAAAGGTCTTTCCAGATTTGATTTTTTTCCCCTCCCCCAATAGCTGCAATTCTAGAGTAACTTTTCTTGAGCCTCATTTATTCCTAGTATCTTCAGCTAACATTGGTGAGTGGAGAGCTCACTTTACAGGATCAAAACATTACAGTGTATCTTGCTGTAGGCTTCCTTCTGAATTGAGTTCAAGTAGGGGTTAGTGAACGCTCTAGGCTCCAGCTGTGCTTCCTGTAGAAGCAAAGAAAGTGGCTGTTTTGCAGTATCTCTAAAGTTGAGAGAATGTGGAAGAAAAGTGATCCTAGTGACATCCCTCAGAGGAGGTGACCAAACCATGACCAATATTGATATCCTGAGCATGGTTGAGCTTTACTTCTGTATCAGTTAGTGTGGAGTCAGATTCTGCCCAGAGCCAGTTTAAAACAACATGAAGATTCACATCCCAATCAGGCATCTGATAGGGAAATCCTGACCTGGCTGTTCCTTTTACTCATGGGACCAATGGTCACATGCATCAGGCTGTTCTTCCAATGAGGTCCTCACTTCTTCTCTGGGTGGGCCCATGCCAAAGCTCTCGTTCATCTGTTCTGTCCTTTGGTAGACACCCCTTCGGGCCTTTAATATGCATTTACCTAAATACTTGCCATATTTAAACTTCCGCGGCTTGCTAGGAAAGCTTTTTGTACCCATTTTCTGATACCCTTTTTAAATAACGGAAGCAAATTTCACTTCTAGTACAAGTATTTTATTAAGTTTATTGTACAAAGGATAAATGAAGCCAGCAATCTTTTTTTTTTTTTTTTTTTAAGGTTAACTGCTATTCAAGAAATGGCCGAGTATGTTTCTTGGTGTGAAGGTTACACTACAAAACCCCACTCATATCATAGCAGGCGTAACACTGGTGAGAGAGACATCCCCAGCAATGCTGAGTTTGGTGATTTCATTCAGGTTCTTCAGCCGGTAGCTGAACTGCAGCAAGTGAGCATCATTGACAGCTACCTTGAAATGATCCGTCTCGCACAGAATGTGGATCTGAAAAATGTGAGTCAAGCAGATGAGTTTAATGTTGCATTTGTTTCAGGGACTAGGTCTCAGGCTACAGGGACTATAGCCACTGTTCTGAATCAAGTCTAGGCGAATACCACTGTCACGCTGGCAGCAGCTAGCAGTGGATGTGAAACAAGTTGGCACTGTGAGGGTAAGTGTCTATTGCAAAAAATGGCCATTTGCCTTTCTGCTGCCATTCCACTAATCAAAGATTCAGATTAAAGTATCCCTCATGAGCCGTCGTCCCTCCAGAGCTGGTGGGAAAGCTTTGCCGTGAGGCTGATATCCATGCTGTGCCAGTTCTGTGGACGGGGGACCTCATTGTCAACCTCTGATACCTTTCAGAAGCACTTAATTCTGCATCTCTTTTCCCTAATTGAAGCCACGTGTTGGTTCAGTCCCTTCTCCCTTATAAGGACTAGTTCAGTAACATTTGCTTGAGTCTTGTCCACCACCTGTACCACTGCATGCTATCCCGGGAGTTACAGTTCCCTGTTAAAGCCCAAGCTCCCTTGTAAAATGGTCAAGACTATCTAGCAGTCCAGACACCTGCTCAACAACCTGCTGTTTTACTTGCCTGTGTCGAGTAGAGCTTTGCAAGGCTGTTTTAAACATTGAGCGAGCAGGGGCCCTGGATACTGTAACTCTACTTCCACATGTTCCAGTAGCGATGTGTAAACTGGGGAGCTGTTTCACCAGCCAGGGAAGGGAAAAAACCCTCCAAGCTTCAGGGCCTTAGAAGGACTTGCTTCAGGGCTTGTTTTTTTATCCACCAAACCACCACACAATCAAAGCAAATCAATGGTAACAGGACATTTGCTTCCTATAGTAGAGACTTTTCCCTGTGTTAGCTAGCCAGGTGGGGCAAAGGTGCACCCCTTTGATACTATGCCCCAGCCCCTGTGTGAGTGGCAAGGACCTGCTAATCCTTGAGAGGTTGCAGCACCTTGACCTTGTCAGCCTGGCTTTGACCAACCACTAGACTGTTCTGTAGAAAGGGTTCCTTGACCAGCAGTTTTCTGCATCAGCTGGCTTTCCCTGTGGTCTGCTGGGAGACCTCCCTGATCTGCATCATAAGGCTATGATTACAGCTCTGTGTAGCAACCCAATTAGTAACTCTTAAAGAGAGGCAACATGAATATGGGGGGGGGAGGGTGGAGAGGATTTGAGGGGGTAAAAGCTATGCCCTGAGCCTTGGCAGGAGCGGTTGAGAAAGTTATGGAACGGATACATTTTATGAAGTTGCCAGTTAAGGTAAGACCCATCTTAACATGCCCCTTACTACATGCATCCGACGAAGTGGGTATTCGCCCACGAAAGCTTGTGCTCCAATACGTCTGTTAATCTATAAGGTGCCACAGGACTCTGTGCTGCTTTTACTAAAGCAAGTTTCTTTATAACCAGACTCACTGGACTTTCTCCTTTGTGCTAGCAGCACAGCCTTTACTCTATGGCCCTTAGCTTGTCCTGCTATGGCCAGCCCTGGCTGGTAGGGAACCTGGTCGTATCTGTCACACCGCACCACAGAGCAGCTACTGCTATTGCTTTTACACACAGTCTTGGCATCAGAAGGAATTTAACACGCATGTGGCTTTTGAATGTAGTGCTGTTGAAAGGTACCAGCATGACAGCCCTGGCGATTTAAGTCCTCTAGTCACCAAAAGGGACAATAGCCATGTGAGTCTCCCAGGGCTGCTGGAAGGTCCAGCTATAGGGCTGAAAGGGCAGATTCTTGTTTATGCCCATTCACTTTGATTGCTAAAGACAAGGGCCAGTTAGTACCACGGTGGTGCCCTTTTTGCAGTGGGGCACTGGAGTCAGTGAACACTCCTGTCCAATATATGGCATTTAGAAGCGGATATTTAGAAAATACACATTTAAAGTTCATGCAGCACCAGGTATACCAGTCACCAGGCCTGCTGGGTAAAGTTTAGCTTGTACCTTAAAAGGTTTGCCAGCTTCAAATGGAAACCTGGGAGCGGTTCTCTCCTCCTTTCCCCAGTTATTCTGAATCAGTGAATTACAGACAATGACTTGTCTGTTGTCCTCGTTGAAGCGGGGATTAAAGTGGAAGGCGACATCATGCCCTTTCTTGAAATCCAGTGAAAATCTGTAAGAGACGGCAAGAGATAGAGAACTGCTCTTTCCACAACCCCTGAACTCTATGGTGGTGCAGCTCGTAGGCTATTTCCTACAGCGGTTGCCTTTAGTCACAGAAAGCGGAGGAGTAAGTCATGAAAACAAGGTTGTACGTTTCTGGCGGCACTGACTCTAGTACAGCTTAGGCAACGTTCAAAAGCAGAAAGCCAAGAAACTTCTGTCCTGCCAAAAAGGACATTCATCTTTCAGGAGAGTGGTACCTGAATGCAAGTTACACAGTCGTAATGAAACAGGCAGCCCGGGGTCCTGCTTTCACTGACTTGGCATATCAGCAACTCCCTGTGTGTCTAGGGTGACCAGATGTCCCGATTTTATAGGGACAGTCCTGATTTTTGGGTCTTTTTCTTATGTAGGCTCCTATTGCCCCCCCAGCCCAATTTTTCACACTTGCTGTCTCGTCACCCTATGTGTGTCTAAAATTGCAACCACAGCACACTACACACTGCACTCTGACTGGCTGACTGTTCCTGCCCCATACTCATAGCTTCCCCCGTGAACTCCTCATCTGAATTGCTGCTTCAATAGCCCCTTCCACACGCCAGTTTGCACTTATAAGGGATAGTTTGAGAAACTTCTGCTTAATGAAAGGACACATTGGGCAATTCATAGGAAGCAGAGGCTGCACTGAGTTAGCATAAAACAGCAAACAGGGAAGTGTAGTTCAGATTACAGATGATGACTGGTCCCTGCCCAAAGGGGAGGCTACGTGACCTCCCCCTGTGCCTCTGCCCTGCCTGGGGCCCCTGTGCTCTCCCTGTCCCCTCCCCATTCCACAGTGGCAGGGGGGGGGGGGGGGGGGGGGCTCTGTCTTCCCGCTGGGCCAGCTCCCCCTGGCATGTTCGGCTGCTCTCCTAGCGCGCTGCCTCCTGCCCGGGGTTGGCTTCCAGGACAGCGGCTGAGCGAGTTGGAGCCCCCACCCCCGGGCACGCTCAGAGTCATCTCCTGTCCCCAGATGCTGCCACAGCCAGACACTCTCCCAGGCAGCTGCTGCGCTGCACTGGACAGCGTGGCTGGAAGAGGCTCTGTCCTCGCCCCTTCCTCTCCCCGCATCGTCACCCTGGCTCCGTTGGGGACGCTCCTTGCTCCGGCTCACTTTACCTGCTGGGGTTTGGATTCACTGTCCCCACGATGGTTATCAAGAAACGAGGCACGAGGCCAGTCTGCAAGGGCAGGTCAAAGGGGACTCTCTGTGAAAGAACATGGACGTTTCATTAGCAAGAACCGGACCCGTAGCCGACATTTAAAACCACATATATAAAAATACACAGACAAATCCTAAGTTCTCATAACTTGATAGTGATCAGAGGAACACAACAGGCTCCTCAGGAGACTGTTAGACACCCGGCTGCCTGACCCACGCAGGAAAGCTACCCCTGAGCCCCTCTCGCCCCTCCCTAGCATTAAAGGGACGCTGACTGAAGACTTCCCAGTTACTGGTGCTTTACAGTATAAATGTAGCTGGGAGCTAATGACTTAAGATCTCTGTCAAGGAACCAAGTTTGCCTGGAACAAAAGGGAATAACTAACATATTTTCTGGGAAGTTTGCTTTAGAAATTGCAATAGTGGATTGTTCCTCAGGAATGAAAATGTTCAGGGCTAATTTAGATGCAAGGTGACAACAAGGAGCGTGGTGTGTTTCAGAGCTATCAGTTTCTTCCAGCAAGATCCCAGCTCTGTAACATCTCCTTACTCACCATGAAGGAGCAGGGATGCACACTGGCACTTCCACCTCCCAGGCAGTAACACCAGCGCTCTAAAGGGCTGGGTGACAGCACTATGGGCCTGATCCTGTAGGGGCCCGAGTACTCTCAATGCCTATGGATGCTGGGAGACAGGAGGGCACTTTGCACCTTCCAGGAAGGATTCTGCACCTTGCAAGATTGAGCCCCATGTGCTCCGGTTCCTAATTCACACACTACTGCATTCTCAGTCAGCCAGGTCCCTCCTGTTCTCAACCTATCAGACACTGCAGATTGTCTAAGAACTGGAAGCTAT